ACAGCCTGTCATTTACTAAAGAACCTTCCAGCTAATGATAGCTCACCTCACACTACCTAGAGAGACAGCCTGTCATTTACTAAAGAACCTTCCAACCCTCTGTATTAAAGTGTGAAAAACAGCTTTCTATTACAGAAGTGGTATTAAACATCTCAGAGTGAAAACACACCTCTCTGCTACCACACACACACTATATATAACCACACTACAGCCACGTTCAGCTCAATGACGCTGTCTCTGCCTGGTTTTAGGACTGACGTAGACAGGGACAGACAGACAGACAGTCTTACTTCTTCCTGTTGAAGATGGTGAATGTGGCCAGTAGACAGATGATCAGGACTGCTACCATGGGAACAACGATCATGATGTAGAGATAGTTCTCATAACCTGGTGGAGCAGGAGATACACATTTAATACAGGTGTTACATACACTCTGGGGTTAACATGTGATAAGGTATTACATACACTCTGGTGTTAACATGTGATAAGGTATTACATACTCTGGGGTTAACATGTGATAAGGTATTACATACACTCTGGTGTTAACATGTGATAAGGTATTACATACTCTGGTGTTAACATGTGATAAGGTATTACATACACTCTGGTGTTAACATGTGATAAGGTATTACATACTCTGGTGTTAACATGTGATAAGGTATTACATACACTCTGGTGTTAACATGTGATAAGGTATTACATACACTCTGGTGTTAACATGTGATAAGGTATTACATACTCTGGTGTTAACATGTGATAAGGTATTACATACACTCTGGTGTTGACATGTGATAAGGTATTACATACTCTGGTGTTAACATGTGATAAGGTATTACATACACACTGGTGTTAACATGTGATAAGGTATTACATACACTCTGGTGTTAACATGTGATAAGGTATTACATACACTCTGGTGTTAACATGTGATAAGGTATTACATACACTGGTGTTAACTAACATGTGATAAGGTATTACATACACACTGGTGGTAACTAACTAACATGTGATAAGGTATTACATACACTCTGGTGTTAACATGTGATAAGGTATTACATACACACTGGTGTTAACTAACATGTGATAAGGTATTACATACACACTGGTGTTAACTAACTAACATGTGATAAGGTATTACATACACTCTGGTGGTAACTAACATGTGATAAGGTATTACATACACTTTGGTGTTAACTAACTAACATGAGATAAGGTATTACATACACACTGGAATTAACTAACTAACATGTGATAACGTATTACATACACACTGGTGTTAACTAACTAACTAACTAACATGTGATAAGGTATTACATACACTCTGGTGTTAACATGTGATAAGGTATTACATACACACTGGTGTTAACATGTGATAAGGTATTACATACACACTGGTGTTAACATGTGATAAGGTATTACATACACTCTGGTGTTAACATGTGATAAGGTATTACATACACTCTGGTGTTAACATGTGATAAGGTATTACATACACTGGTGTTAACTAACATGTGATAAGGTATTACATACACACTAGTGGTAACTAACTAACATGTGATAAGGTATTACATACACTCTGGTGTTAACTAACATGTGATAAGGTATTACATACACACTGGTGTTAACTAACTAACATGAGATAAGGTATTACATACACTCTGGTGGTAACTAACATGTGATAAGGTATTACATACACTTTGGTGTTAACTAACTAACATGAGATAAGGTATTACATACACTCTGGTGGTAACTAACATGTGATAAGGTATTACATACACTTTGGTGTTAACTAACTAACATGTGATAAGGTATTACATACACACTGGAATTAACTAACTAACATGTGATAACGTATTACATACACACTGGTGTTAACTAACTAACTAACTAACTAACTAACTAACTAACATGTGATAAGGTATTACATACACTCTGGTGTTAACATGTGATAAGGTATTACATACACACTGGTGTTAACATGTGATAAGGTATTACATACACTCTGGTGTTAACATGTGATAAGGTATTACATACACACTGGTGTTAACATGTGATAAGGTATTACATACACACTGGTGTTAACTAACATGTGATAAGGTATTACATACACTCTAGTGTTAACTAACTAACATGTGATAAGGTATTACATACACACAGGTATTAACTAACTAACTAACTAACATGTGATAAGGTATTACATACACTCTGGTGTTAACTAACATGTGATAAGGTATTACATACACTTTGGTGTTAACTAACTAACATGAGATAAGGTATTACATACACACTGGTGTTAACTAACATGTGATAAGGTATTACATACACTCTGGTGTTAACTAACTAACATGAGATAAGGTATTACATACACACTGGAATTAACTAACTAACATGTGATAAGGTCCTCTGTAGCTCAGCTGGTAGAGCACGGCGCTTGTAACGCCAAGGTAGTGGGTTCGATCCCCGGGACCACCCGTACACCAAAAAATTAATAATTATGCACGCATGACTGTAAGTCGCTTTGGATAAAAGCGTCTGCTAAATGGCATATTATTATTATTATTACATACACTCTGGTGGTAACTAACTAACATGTGATAAGGTATTACATACACACTGGTGTTAACATGTGATAAGGTATTACATACACACTGGTGGTAACTAACTAACATATGATAAGGTATTACATACACACTGGTGTTAACATGTGATAAGGTATTACATACACACTGGTGTTAACTAACATGTGATAAGGTATTACATACACTCTGGTGTTAACTAACTAACATGAGATAAGGTATTACATACACACTGGTGTTAACTAACATGAGATAAGGTATTACATACACTGGTGTTAACTAACTAACATGTGATAAGGTATTACATACACACAGGTATTAACTAACTAACATGTGATAAGGTATTACATACACTGGTGTTAACTAACTAACATGAGATAAGGTATTACATACACTGGTGTTAACTAACATGTGATAAGGTATTACATACACTGGTATTAACTAACATGTGTTAAGGTATTACATACACTGGTATTAACTAACATGTGTTAAGGTATTACATACACACAGGTATTAACTAACTAACATGTGATAAGGTATTACATACACTGGTATTAACTAACATGTGTTAAGGTATTACATACACTGGTATTAACTAACATGTGTTAAGGTATTACATACACTGGTATTAACTAACATGTGTTAAGGTATTACATACACTGGTATTAACTAACATGTGTTAAGGTATTACATACACTGGTATTAACTAACATGTGATAAGGTATTACATACACTGGTATTAACTAACATGTGTTAAGGTATTACATACACTGGTATTAACTAACATGTTATAAGGTATTACATACACTGGTATTAACTAACATGTGATAAGGTATTACATACACTGGTATTAACTAACTAACGTGTGATAAGGTATTACATACACTGGTATTAACTAACATGTGATAAGGTATTACATACACTGGTATTAACTAACATGTGATAAGGTATTACATACACTGGTATTAACTAACATGTGTTAAGGTATTACATACACTGGTATTAACTAACATGTTATAAGGTATTACATACACTGGTATTAACTAACATGTGATAAGGTATTACATACACTGGTATTAACTAACTAACGTGTGATAAGGTATTACATACACTGGTATTAACTAACATGTGTTAAGGTATTACATACACTGGTATTAACTAACATGTGATAAGGTATTACATACACTGGTATTAACTAACATGTGATAAGGTATTACATACACTGGTGTTAACTAACATGTGTTAAGGTATTACATACACTGGTATTAACTAACATGTGATAAGGTATTACATACACTGGTATTAACTAACATGTGATAAGGTATTACATACACTGGTATTAACTAACATGTGTTAAGGTATTACATACACTGGTATTAACTAACATGTGTTAAGGTATTACATACACTGGTATTAACTAACATGTGATAAGGTATTACATACACTGGTATTAACTAACATGTGATAAGGTATTACATACACTGGTGTTAACTAACATGTGATAAGGTATTACATACACTGGTATTAACTAACATGTGATAAGGTATTACATACACTCTGGTGTTAACTAACTAACATGTGATAAGGTATTACATACACTGGTATTAACTAACATGTGTTAAGGTATTACATACACTGGTATTAACTAACATGTGATAAGGTATTACATACACTGGTGTTAACTAACATGTTATAAGGTATTACATACACTGGTGTTAACTAACATGTTATAAGGTATTACATACACTGGTATTAACTAACATGTGATAAGGTAAGACGGCATTCATCAACAAGTGTTCAAGGTGATTATTAGACTTTATACGGGTGGGTCTAATCCTGAATGCTGATTGGTTAAAACCGCATTCCAGCCGGTGTCTATTCCACAAGTTACCACCGGCTAAATCTATGACGTTAAAATGCCTATTTACTCTGTTGCATCTGACTGCGCAATCCACTGTCTCAGCAGCCCAGCCAGGCAATTTATAAACTTGATTTCCACTATAAAAAGCATATAGACGTTATCTCACATTTCTTTTAGACCAACATTTAGTTTAACAGCGGAGATTTGTATATACCTTGCTGTCTGTCTCTCAGCCAGTATGGCAATGGAACATTTAGAACGAACGACTGGGTCGCGTCCATAGATACAGAACAAAAAGACTGACCGACTGGGTCGCGTCCATAGATACAGAACAAAAAGACTGAACGACTGGGTCGCGTCCATAGATACAGAACAAAAAGACTGACCGAATGGGTCGCGTCCATAGATACAGAACAAAAAGACTGAAGGACTGGGTCGCGTCCATAGATACAGAACAAAAAGACTGAACGACTGGGTCGCGTCCATAGATACAGAACAAAAAGACTGAACGACTGGGTCGCATCCATAGATACAGAACAAAAAGACTGAACGACTGGGTCGCGTCCATAGATACAGAACAAAAAGACTGACCGACTAGGTCGCGTCCATAGATACAGAACAAAAAGACTGAACGACTGGGTCGCGTCCATAGATACAGAACAAAAAGACTGAACGACTGGGTCACGTCCATATATACAGAACAAAAAGACTGACCGACTAGGTCGCGTCCATAGATACAGAACAAAAAGACTGGGTCGCGTCCATAGATACAGAACAAAAAGACTGAACGACTGGGTCGCGTCCATAGATACAGAACAAAAAGACTGAAGGACTGGGTCGCGTCCATAGATACAGAACAAAAAGACTGAACGCCTGGGTCGCGTCCATAGATACAGAACAAAAAGACTGAACGACTGGGTCGCGTCCATAGATACAGAACAAAAAGACTGACCGACTAGGTCGCGTCCATAGATACAGAACAAAAAGACTGAACGACTGGGTCGCGTCCATAGATACAGAACAAAAAGACTGAACGACTGGGTCACGTCCATAGATACAGAACAAAAAGACTGGGTCGCGTCCATAGATACAGAACAAAAAGACTGAACGACTGGGTCGCGTCCATAGATACAGAACAAAAAGACTGAACGACTGGGTCGCGTCCATAGATACAGAACAAAAAGACTGACCGACTAGGTCGCGTCCATAGATACAGAACAAAAAGACTGAACGACTGGGTCGCGTCCATAGATACAGAACAAAAAGACTGAACGACTGGGTCGCGTCCATAGATACAGAACAAAAAGACTGACCGACTAGGTCGCGTCCATAGATACAGAACAAAAAGACTGGGTCGTGTCCATAGATACAGAACAAAAAGACTGAACGACTGGGTCGCGTCCATAGATACAGAACAAAAAGACTGAACGACTGGGTCGCGTCCATAGATACAGAACAAAAAGACTGAACGACTGGGTCGCGTCCATAGATACAGAACAAAAAGACTGGGTCGCGTCCATAGATACAGAACAAAAAGACTGAACGACTGGGTAGCGTCCATAGATACAGAACAAAAAGACTGAACGACTGGGTCGCGTCCATAGATACAGAACAAAAAGACTGAACGACTGGGTAGCGTCCATAGATACAGAACAAAAAGACTGAACGACTGGGTAGCGTCCATAGATACAGAACAAAAAGACTGAACGACTGGGTCGCGTCCATAGATACAGAACAAAAAGACTGAACGACTGGGTCGCGTCCATAGATACAGAACAAAAAGACTGACCGAATGGGTCGCGTCCATAGATACAGAACAAAAAGACTGAAGGACTGGGTCGCGTCCATAGATACAGAACAAAAAGACTGAACGACTGGGTCGCGTCCATAGATACAGAACAAAAAGACTGAACGACTGGGTCGCATCCATAGATACAGAACAAAAAGACTGAACGACTGGGTCGCGTCCATAGATACAGAACAAAAAGACTGACCGACTAGGTCGCGTCCATAGATACAGAACAAAAAGACTGAACGACTGGGTCGCGTCCATAGATACAGAACAAAAAGACTGAACGACTGGGTCACGTCCATATATACAGAACAAAAAGACTGACCGACTAGGTCGCGTCCATAGATACAGAACAAAAAGACTGGGTCGCGTCCATAGATACAGAACAAAAAGACTGAACGACTGGGTCGCGTCCATAGATACAGAACAAAAAGACTGAAGGACTGGGTCGCGTCCATAGATACAGAACAAAAAGACTGAACGCCTGGGTCGCGTCCATAGATACAGAACAAAAAGACTGAACGACTGGGTCGCGTCCATAGATACAGAACAAAAAGACTGACCGACTAGGTCGCGTCCATAGATACAGAACAAAAAGACTGAACGACTGGGTCGCGTCCATAGATACAGAACAAAAAGACTGACCGACTGGGTCACGTCCATAGATACAGAACAAAAAGACTGGGTCGCGTCCATAGATACAGAACAAAAAGACTGAACGACTGGGTCGCGTCCATAGATACAGAACAAAAAGACTGAACGACTGGGTCGCGTCCATAGATACAGAACAAAAAGATTGAACGACTGGGTCGCGTCCATAGATACAGAACAAAAAGACTGAACGACTGGGTCGCGTCCATAGATACAGAACAAAAAGACTGGGTCGCGTCCATAGATACAGAACAAAAAGACTGAACGACTGGGTAGCGTCCATAGATACAGAACAAAAAGACTGAACGACTGGGTCGCGTCCATAGATACAGAACAAAAAGACTGAACGACTGGGTAGCGTCCATAGATACAGAACAAAAAGACTGAACGACTGGGTAGCGTCCATAGATACAGAACAAAAAGACTGAACGACTGGGTCGCGTCCATAGATACAGAACAAAAAGACTGAACGACTGGGTCGCGTCCATAGATACAGAACAAAAAGACTGAACGACTGGGTCGCGTCCATAGATACAGAACAAAAAGACTGAACGACTGGGTCGCGTCCATAGATACAGAACAAAAAGACTGACCGACTAGGTCGCGTCCATAGATACAGAACAAAAAGACTGAACGACTGGGTCGCGTCCATAGATACAGAACAAAAAGACTGAACGACTGGGTCGCGTCCATAGATACAGAACAAAAAGACTGACCGACTAGGTCGCGTCCATAGATACAGAACAAAAAGACTGGGTCGCGTCCATAGATACAGAACAAAAAGACTGAACGACTGGGTCGCGTCCATAGATACAGAACAAAAAGACTGAACGACTGGGTCGCGTCCATAGATACAGAACAAAAAGACTGAACGACTGGGTCGCGTCCATAGATACAGAACAAAAAGATTGAACGACTGGGTCGCGTCCATAGATACAGAACAAAAAGACTGAACGACTGGGTCGCGTCCATAGATACAGAACAAAAAGACTGAACGACTGGGTCGCGTCCATAGATACAGAACAAAAAGACTGAACGACTGGGTAGCGTCCATAGATACAGAACAAAAAGACTGAACGACTGGGTAGCGTCCATAGATACAGAACAAAAAGACTGAACGAATGGGTAGCGTCCATAGATACAGAACAAAAAGACTGAACGACTGGGTCGCGTCCATAGATACAGAACAAAAAGACTGAACGACTGGGTCGCGTCCATAGATACAGAACAAAAAGACTGAACGACTGGGTCGCGTCCATAGATACAGAACAAAAAGACTGACCGACTAGGTCGCGTCCATAGATACAGAACAAAAAGACTGAACGACTGGGTCACGTCCATAGATACAGAACAAAAAGACTGAACGACTGGGTCGCGTCCATAGATACAGAACAAAAAGACTGACCGACTAGGTCGCGTCCATAGATACAGAACAAAAAGACTGGGTCACGTCCATAGATACAGAACAAAAAGACTGAACGACTGGGTCGCGTCCATAGATACAGAACAAAAAGACTGAACGACTGGGTCGCGTCCATAGATACAGAACAAAAAGACTGAACGACTGGGTCGCGTCCATAGATACAGAACAAAAAGACTGAACGACTGGGTCGCGTCTCTGCCAACCGAACCAATAGAACGAACGACCAGCCGGCTAGGGTAGCAACCCTAGATTTGTGTCGGGACTATATCTTGTGGAAGGATTAAATAGTATGAATAAATCGATCAAAATAAAGTTTTAAATGAAAATATGTCAATCAATATTTAAATATGTTGGTAGAAGTTGTATAAAAGTGATAATGCCCTCTTGCCAATATATCCTCCAAACACTGGCTTCTCTGGCATTATGACTGAAATACACAGAGTATACCAAACATTAGGAACGCCTTCCTAAACACCTTCCCTTTTTTACCCCCAGCCTCAATTTGTCGGGGCGTGAACTCTACAAGGTGTGGAAAACGTTCCACAGGGATGCTGGCCCATGTTGACTCCAATGCTTCCCACAGGGATGCTGGCCCATGTTGACTCCAATGCTTCCCACAGGGATGCTGGCCCATGTTGACTCCAATGCTTCCCACAGGGATGCTGGCCCATGTTGACTCCAATGCTTCCCACAGGGATGCTGGCCCATGTTGACTCCAATGCTTCCCACAGGGATGCTGGCCCATGTTGACTCCAATGCTTCCCACAGGGATGCTGGCCCATGTTGACTCCAATGCTTCCCACAGGGATGATGGCCCATGTTGACTCCAATGCTTCCCACAGTTGTGTCAAGTTGGCTGAATGTCCTTTGGGTGGTGGACCATTCTTGATACACACAGGAAACTGTTGAATGTGAAAAACCCAGCAGCGTTACAGTTCGTGAAGCAAACTGGAGCGCCTGGCACCTTCTACCATCCCCCGTTCAAAGACACTCAAATATTTTGTCTTGCCCATTCACCCTCTGAATGGCACACATATACAATCCATGTCTCAATTGTCTCAAGGCTTAAAAGTCCTTCTTTAACCTGTCTCCTCCCCTTCATCTACACTGATTGAAATGGATTTAACAGGTGGCATTTGGACTGTTGAGGTCACCGTATTACTGCCACACACCGGCGGTCACGAGTCATGAAGGCAGTCAAATTTCACATGACCATTTAGTCCAGGCTCTGTCGTAGCCGGCCGCGACCGGGAGACCCATGGGGCGGCACACAATTGGCCCAGCGTAGTCCAAGGTATGGGTGGAAATGGCTGGCAGGGATGAAGCTCAGTTGGTAGAGCATGGCGTTTGCAACGCCAGGGTTGTGGGTTCGATTCCCATGGGGGGCCAGTATGAAAAAAAATTAAAATAATGTATGCACTCACTAACTGTAAGTTGCTCTGGATAAGAGCGTCTGCTAAATGACGTAAATGTAAATGTGTTCACGGTAATTAGGCTTCTCCAAGCTCTGATGCTGCTGATGGTCATTAGTAGCCTACCAAACTTGCTAACTGCCTGGTACTCAGCACTCTATTGTCCCTCTAATCACTCTGACATCAATGCAAATGTATTCGAAAATCTACTCAAACACTTCATGAGAGCTAATGAGTTCATGTTGCGCAACAGTTCTATAGGCTGTGGAGTAGCGGGAGAAAACAGAGTGATGGCCTCTATTAAAAAGAGGAGGATCCCATCATTAAGCACATTGCTTATCTTTACAACAGGAGTATAGCCTACCTGGCTGGCATGAAAATAAACCACAGGGAAAAGCGTCCTCCATACGCTATTTACGTTTATTTAAGTTATTTTTTCCCCTGCCCCTGTCTCGATACAGGTGCATGATAATGGTCCATTCTAAATCAAAACAAATGTCACACATACAGTGGGGAAAAAAAGTATTTAGTCAGCCACCAATTGTGCAAGTTTTCCCACTTCAAAAGATGAGAGAGGCCTGTAATTTTCATCATAGGTTCACGTCAACTATGACAGGCAAAATGAGAAGAAAAAATCCAGAAAATCACATTGTAGGATTTTTTATGAATTTATTTGCAAATTATGGTGGAGAATAAGTATTTGGTCAATAACAAAAGTTTCTCAATACTTTGTTATATACCCTTTGTTGGCAATGACACAGGTCAAACGTTTTCTGTAAGTCTTCACAAGGTTTTCACACACTGTTGCTGGTATTTTGGCCCATTCCTCCATGCAGATCTCCTCTAGAGCAGTGATGTTTTGGGGCTGTCGCTGGGCAACATGGACTTTCAACTCCCTCCAAAGATTTTCTATGGGGTTGAGATCTGGAGACTGGCTAGGCCACTCCAGGACCTTGAAATGCTTCTTACGAAGCCACTCCTTCGTTGCCCGGGCGGTGTGTTTGGGATCATTGTCATGCTGAAAGACCCAGCCACGTTTCATCTTCAATGCCCTTGCTGATGGAAGGAGGTTTTCACTCAAAATCTCACGATACATGGCCCCATTCATTCTTTCCTTTACACGGATCAGTCGTCCTGGTCCCTTTGCAGAAAAACAGCCCCAAAGCATGATGTTTCCACCCCTATGCTTCACAGTAGGTATGGTGTTCTTTGGATGCAACTCAGCATTCTTTGTCCTCAAAACACGACGAGTTGAGTTTTTACCAAAAAGTTCTATTTTGGTTTCATCTGACCATATGACATTCTCCCAGTCCTCTTCTGGATCATCCAAATGCACTCTAGCAAACTTCAGACGGGCCTGGACATGTACTGGCTTAAGCAGGGGGACACGTCTAGCACTGCAGGATTTGAGTCCCTGGCGGCGTAGTGTGTTACTGATGGTAGGCTTTGTTACTTTGGTCCCAGCTCTCTGCAGGTCATTCACTAGGTCCCCCCGTGTGGTTCTGGGATTTTTGCTCACCGTTCTTGTGATCATTTTGACCCCACGGGGTGAGATCTTGCGTGGAGCCCCAGATCGAGGGAGATTATCAGTGGTCTTGTATGTCTTCCATTTCCTAATAATTGCTCCCACAGTTGATTTCTTCAAACCAAGCTGCTTACCTATTGCAGATTCAGTCTTCCCAGCCTGGTACCAGGTCTACAATTTTGTTTCTGGTGTCCTTTGACAGCTCTTTGGTCTTGGCCATAGTGGAGTTTGGAGTGTGACTGTTTGAGGTTGTGGACAGGTGTCTTTTATACTGATAACAAGTTCAAACAGGTGCCATTAATACAGGTAATGAGTGGAGGACAGAGGAGCCTCTTAAAGAAGAAGTTACAGGTCTGTGAGAGCCAGAAATCTTGCTTGTTTGTAGGTGACCAAATACTTATTTTCCACCATAAATTAGAAATAAATTAATAAAAAATCCTACAATGTGATTTTCAGGATCTTTTTTCTCAATTTGTCTGTCATAGTTGACGTGTACCTATGATGAAAATTACAGGCCTCTCTCATCTTTTTAAGTGGGAGAACCTGCACAATTGGTGGCTGACTAAATACTTTTTTTCCCCACTGTATATTATTTAGTAAAGGCAAGATTAAATCAAGAATAGTCTGATGGGTGACAATATTAGCCTATCAGTTGTGAATTATATATGATCACTTGTGAATGATTCCCAGCTTAAGAAACAAAGCCTTTTCTAATCATAGTCGCCCACCTCATGTAGCCGAGCCCATAGGCCTATATGTTTTAATAAGGTTTGTATCACATCTAAAGTGGCCAAATAACTTCTTAAAATGAAGCACATTAATCCGCTTTACAACGGGTGTAGAGCCTAACTGGCATACATAAGCAGCGCCTGAGTTTCAAGTTTGGGGAAGATCATTTTCACCATAAAAATGCATAATTGTATTTGCGGTCCCTTTTGATAATGGTCTTTTCCACTAATGGAACATTGCCATGTATAGCCTACTACCATGTGCGCATTGCTGATCTTATAATGTGAAGAAACAGTCTAATAGTTTATCAACATTTTAAGCTAAACCTTCTGATCTGTTGCGTCAGCCACATTGCACTTTTTTTTTTCACCTCAGAATTGCATCCCGATGTGTCTGTCTTCACTTGTAGCCTGTGAGAAAGACCAGATCACGTGATGGAGAGCCATGTGAGTGAGAGGTGATTCGGAGCAGCAAACTCAGGGAGAAGGACACAACGCAGCACTCAGGGAGAAGGGCACAACGCAGCACTCAGGGAGAAGGACACAACGCAGCACTCAGGGAGAAGGGCACAACGCAGCACTCAGGGAGAAGGGCACAACGCAGCACTCAGGGAGAAGGGCACAACGCAGCACTCAGGGAGAAGGACACAATGCAGCACTCAGGGAGAAGGGCACAACGCAGCACTCAGGGAGAAGGACACAACGCAGCACTCAGGGAGAAGGGCACAACGCAGCACTCAGGGAGAAGGACACAACGCAGTACTCAGGGAGAAGGGCACAACGCAGCACTCAGGGAGAAGGGCACAACGCAGCACTCAGGGAGAAGGACACAACGCAGCACTCAGGGAGAAGGACACAACGCAGCACTCAGGGAGAAGGACAACGCAGCACTCAGGGAGAAGGGCACAACGCAGCACTCAGGGAGAAGGGCACAACGCAGCACTCAGGGAGAAGGACACAACGCAGCACTCAGGGAGAAGGACACAACGCAGCACTCAGGGAGAAGGACACAACGCAGCACTCAGGGAGAAGGACACAACGCAGCACTCAGGGAGAAGGACACAACGCAGCACTCAGGGAGAAGGGCACAACGCAGCACTCAGGGAGAAGGGCACAACGCAGCACTCAGGGAGAAGGACAACGCAGCACTCAGGGAGAAGGACAACGCAGCACTCAGAGAGAAGGACAACGCAGCACTCAGGGAGAAGGACACAACGCAGCACTCAGGGAGAAGGACACAACGCAGCACTCAGGGAGAAGGACACAACGCAGCACTCAGGGAGAAGGACACAACGCTGCACTCAGGGAGAAGGACACAACGCTGCACTCAGTGAGAAGGACACAACGCAGCACTCAGGGAGAAGGGCACAACGCAGCACTCAGGGAGAAGGACAACGCAGCACTCAGAGAGAAGGACAACGCAGCACTCAGGGAGAAGGACACAATGCAGCACTCAGGGAGAAGGACACAACGCAGCACTCAGGGAGAAGGGCACAACGCAGCACTCAGGGAGAAGGGCACAACGCAGCACTCAGGGAGAAGGGAACAACGCAGCACTCAGGGAGAAGGGAACAACGCAGCACTCAGGGAGAAGGACAACGCAGCACTCAGGGAGAAGGACAACGCAGCACTCAGGGAGAAGGACAACGCAGCACTCAGGGAGAAGGGCACAACGCAGCACTCAGGGAGAAGGGCGCAACGCAGCACTCAGGGAGAAGGGCACAACGCAGCACTCAGGGAGAAGGGCACAACGCAGCACTCAGGGAGAAGGGCACAACGCAGCACTCAGGGAGAAGGACACAACGCAGCACTCAGGGAGAAGGGCACAACGCAGCACTCAGGGAGAAGGACAACGCAGCACTCAGGGAGAAGGGCGCAACGCAGCACTCAGGGAGAAGGGCACAACGCAGCACTCAGGGAGAAGGACACAACGCAGCACTCAGGGAGAAGGGCACAACGCAGCACTCAGGGAGAAGGGCACAACGCAGCACTCAGGGAGAAGGGCACAACGCAGCACTCAGGGAGAAGGGCACAACGCAGCACTCAGGGAGAAGGGCACAACGCAGCACTCAGGGAGAAAGGCACAACGCAGCACTCAGGGAGAAGGGCACAACGCAGCACTCAGGGAGAAGGGCACAACGCAGCACTCAGGGAGAAGGGCACAACGCAGCACTCAGGGAGAAGGGCACAACGCAGCACTCAGGGAGAAGGGCACAACGCAGCACTCAGGGAGAAGGACAACGCAGCACTCAGGGAGAAGGGCGCAACGCAGCACTCAGGGAGAAGGGCACAACGCAGCACTCAGGGAGAAGGACACAACGCAGCACTCAGGGAGAAGGGCACAACGCAGCACTCAGGGAGAAGGGCACAACGCAGCACTCAGGGAGAAGGACACAACGCAGCACTCAGGGAGAAGGGCACAACGCAGCACTCAGGGAGAAGGACACAACGCAGCACTCAGGGAGAAGGGCACAACGCAGCACTCAGGGAGAAGGGCACAACGCAGCACTCAGGGAGAAGGACAACGCAGCACTCAGGGAGAAGGGCGCAACGCAGCACTCAGGGAGAAGGGCGCAACGCAGCACTCAGGGAGAAGGGCACAACGCAGCACTCAGGGAGAAGGGCACAACGCAGCACTCAGGGAGAAGGGCACAACGCAGCACTCAGGGAGAAGGGCACAACGCAGCACTCAGGGAGAAGGGCACAACGCAGCACTCAGGGAGAAGGGCACAACGCAGCACTCAGGGAGAAAGGCACAACGCAGCACTCAGGGAGAAGGACACAACGCAGCACTCAGGGAGAAGGGCACAACGCAGCACTCAGGGAGAAGGGCACAACGCAGCACTCAGGGAGAAGGGCACAACGCAGCACTCAGGGAGAAGGGCACAACGCAGCACTCAGGGAGAAGGGCACAACGCAGCACTCAGGGAAAAGGGCACAACGCAGCACTCAGGGAGAAGGGCACAACGCAGCACTCAGGGAGAAGGACACAACGCAGCACTCAGGGAGAAGGGCACAACGCAGCACTCAGGGAGAAGGGCACAACGCAGCACTCAGGGAGAAGGGCACAACGCAGCACTCAGGGAGAAGGACACAACGCAGCACTCAGGGAGAAGGGCACAACGCAGCACTCAGGGAGAAGGGAACAACGCAGCACTCAGGGAGAAGGGCACAACGCAGCACTCAGGGAGAAGGACACAAGGCAGCACTCAGGGAGAAGGGCACAACGCAGCACTCAGGGAGAAGGGCACAACGCAGCACTCAGGGAGAAAGGCACAACGCAGCACTCAGGGAGAAGGACACAACGCAGCACTCAGGGAGAAGGGCACAACGCAGCACTCAGGGAGAAGGACACAACGCAGCACTCAGGGAGAAGGACACAACGCAGCACTCAGGGAGAAGGACACAACGCAGCACTCAGGGAGAAGGGCACAACGCAGCACTCAGGGAGAAAGGCACAACGCAGCACTCAGGGAGAAGGACACAACGCAGCACTCAGGGAGAAGGACACAACGCAGCACTCAGGGAGAAGGACACAACGCAGCACTCAGGGAGAAGGGCACAACGCAGCACTCAGGGAGAAAGGCACAACGCAGCACTCAGGGAGAAGGACACAACGCAGCACTCAGGGAGAAGGACACAACGCAGCACTCAGGGAGAAGGACAACGCAGCACTCAGGGAGAAGGGCACAACGCAGCACTCAGGGAGAAGGACAACGCAGCACTCAGAGAGAAGGACAATGCAGCACTCAGGGAGAAGGACACAACGCAGCACTCAGGGAGAAGGACACAACGCAGCACTCAGGGAGAAGGACACAACGCAGCACTCAGGGAGAAGGACACAACGCAGCACTCAGGGAGAAGGACAACGCAGCACTCAGGGAGAAGGACACAACGCAGCACTCAGGGAGAAGGACACAACGCAGCACTCAGGGAGAAGGGCACAACGCAGCACTCAGGGAGAAGGACACAACGCAGCACTCAGGGAGAAGGACACAACGCAGCACTCAGGGAGAAGGGCACAACGCAGCACTCAGGGAGAAGGGCACAACGCAGCACTCAGGGAGAAGGGCACAACGCAGCACTCAGGGAGAAGGACACAACGCAGCACTCAGGGAGAAGGGCACAACGCAGCACTCAGGGCTGCAATAGGCATGGATGTTTTTAGGGTGTATTACGGCCACAAAGGGGATGCCGCCGTGGAATTCGAGGCATTATCAAGTGCTTGTCAAATTGTGAATGAGAGACTATTGGAGTGTGTACAGCCTGCGCAAAAAACAAAGCAGAGCTCATGCCTTTCAAGCGACTTTTTTCAAATCATCATTAGAGTCTCATCACGCAGCCTTACAATGTATTAAAAATCAAAACATATAGCCCAACGTTTGTGGAACAACTAAAGTTACATTAATAACTCTAAATTAAGCATATAGGAGGACCTGTTTCTTTGTTAACCGCTCAACACAGAATAGCCGCATGTGCTCACTCCCTCAAATCGTTTGGAGAAAATATTTTCTATTTTATTCAGCTTTGTTCAATTGTTTTCTTCACACTATAAAATAATATAAAATAATGCCATGGAATTCTAAGCAGATCTTGTCTGCTAAATGAACTAGTGTAGCCCACAGCCATATGGCATAGCCACATCAGGACCTAACATAAGGACAACTCAGAGGATGCTATTCTGTTCTTCTGAAATAGGCTACATTTTCTTCATATCATGTTTCTTTAGACCTGTCTAAAATAAATAATGGGTTTATTGTGAAGGTGTACGCTATATTACATGGATTAATTAGACTTTTTAAAAACTGTCTTGTAGGCTGTGTGTGGAAGCCAGGAGATGCTAAATGTGTTTATGTTAATTACCGGTCAATTACCGTGAGACCGACAGTTATTTGCTTGACAATCACCGGCTGACTACATTCTGTGACCGCCACAGCCCTACGTGGCATCAATAAGAGATCATGGCTCTCACATAGTCAATCTATGTCAAGGAAAGAGCAGGTGGTCTTAATGTTTTGTATACTCATAGGTTGTTTTGTCTGCCTTGTTGGTTGTGTTCACAAAGACCAATTCAATTCCCCATGAGAGACAAAGTTATGTAGTGTTGAATAGTGGATGATGATGATGATGATGGTGATGATGATGATATCTTACGTTGGGCCTGCACCACATAGAAGGAGACGGGTTCAGTCCAGGATCCGTTACCAGCCAGGGAGGTGGCTCTGACCCGGGCGGAGTAGTTACCAGGTCCAAGGTTACTGAGTCTGGCACCACGCTGCTCTCTATAGAGCTGCCGAGACACACACTCATGCTTCTCTGGCTGGACACAGAGAAACACACTGTTAGACTACTGCTTCTCTGGCTGGACAGACACAGAGAAACACACTGTTAGACTACTGCTTCTCTGGCTGGACACAGAGAAACACACTGTTAGACTACTGCTTCTCTGGCTGGACAGACACAGAGAAACACACTGTTAGACTACTGCTTCTCTGGCTGGACAGACACAGAGAAACACACTGTTAGACTACTGCTTCTCTGGCTGGACACAGAGAAACACACTGTTAGACTACTGCTTCTCTGGCTGGACACAGAGAAACACACTGTTAGACTACTGCTTCTCTGGCTGGACACAGAGAAACACACTGTTAGACTACTGCTTCTCTGGCTGGACACAGAGAAACACACTGTTAGACTACTGCTTCTCTGACTGGACACAGAGAAACACACTGTTAGACTACTGCTTCTCTGGCTGGACACAGAGAAACACACTGTTAGAATACTGCTTCTCTGGCTGGACACAGAGAAACACACTGTTAGACTACTGCTTCTCTGACTGGACACAGAGAAACACACTGTTAGACTACTGCTTCTCTGGCTGGACACAGAGAAACACACTGTTAGAATACTGCTTCTCTGGCTGGACACAGAGAAACACACTGTTAGACTACTGCTTCTCTGACTGGACACAGAGAAACACACTGTTAGACTACTGCTTCTCTGACTGGACACAGAGAAACACACTGTTAGACTACTGCTTCTCTGGCTGGACACAGAGAAACACACTGTTAGACTACTGCTTCTCTGGCTGGACACAGAGAAACACACTGTTAGACTGCAGGTAGCTAGCTAGTTAGCTCTCCACAGAGCAGCTGTCCTGCATCACCCCAACATTACTGGGTCACCCCAACATTACTGGGTCACCCCAACATTACTGGGTCACCCCAACATTACTGGGTCACCCCAACATTACTGGGTCACCCCAACATTACTGCGTCACCCCAACATTACTGGGTCACCCCAACATTACTGGGTCACCCCAACATTACTGCATCACCCCAACATTACTGGGTCACCCCAACATTACTGGGTCACCCCAACATTACTGGGTCACCCCAACATTACTGGGTCACCCCAACATTACTGGGTCACCCCAACATTACTGCGTCACCCCAACATTACTGGGTCACCCCAACATTACTGGGTCACCCCAACATTACTGGGTCACCCCAACATTACTGGGTCACCCCAACATTACTGGGTCACCCCAACATTACTGGGTCACCCCAACATTACTGGGTCACCCCAACATTACTGGGTCACCCCAACATTACTGGGTCACCCCAACATTACTGGGTCACCCCAACATTACTGGGTCACCCCAACATTACTGGGTCACCTCAACATTACTGGGTCACCCCAACATTACTGCGTCACCCCAACATTACTGGGTCACCCCAACATTACTGGGTTACCCCAACATTACTGGGTCACCCCAACATTACTGCATCACCCCAACATTACTGGGTTACCCCAACATTACTGGGTTACCCCAACATTACTGGGTCACCCCAACATTACTGGGTCACCCCAACATTACTGGGTCACCCCAACATTACTGGGTCACCCCAACATTACTGGGTCACCCCAACATTACTGGGTCACCCCAACATTACTGCATCACCCCAACATTACTGCGTCACCCCAACATTACTGGGTCACCCCAACATTACTGGGTCACCCCAACATTACTGGGTCACCCCAACATTACTGGGTCACCCCAACATTACTGCATCACCCCAACATTACTGGGTCACCCCAACATTACTGGGTCACCCCAACATTACTGGGTCACCCCAACATTACTGGGTCACCCCAACATTACTGGGTCACCCCAACATTACTGGGTCACCCCAACATTACTGGGTCACCCCAACATTACTGCGTCACCCCAACATTACTGGGTCACCCCAACATTTACTGGGTCACCCCAACATTACTGGCATCACCCCAACATTACTGGGTCACCCCAACATTACTGGGTCACCTCAACATTACTGGGTCACCCCAACATTACTGGGTCACCCCAACATTACTGGGTCACCCCAACATTACTGGGTCACCCCAACATTACTGGCTTACCCCAACATTACTGGCTTACCCCAACATTACTGGCTTACCCCAACATTACTGCATCACCCCAACATTACTGGGTCACCCCAACATTACTGGGTCACCCCAACATTACTGGGTCACCCCAACATTACTGGGTCACCCCAACATTACTTGGTCACCCCAACATTACTGCATCACCCCAACTTACTGGGTCACCCCAACATTACTGGGTCACACCCAAACATTACTGGGTCACCCTCAACATTACTGGGTCACCCCAACATTACTGGGTCACCCCAACATTACTGGGTCACCCCAACATTACTGGGTCACCCCAACATTACTGGGTCACCCCAACATTACTGGGTCACCCCAACATTACTGGGTCACCCCAACATTACTGGGTCACCCCAACATTACTGGGTCACCCCAACATTACTTGGTCACCCCAACATTACTGGGTCACCCCAACATTACTGGGTCACCCCAACATTACTGGGTCACCCCAACATTACTGGGTTACCCCAACATTACTGGGTCACCCCAACATTACTGGGTCACCCCAACATTACAGGGTCACCCCAACATTACTGGGTCACCCCAACATTACTGGGTTACCCCATACAATGTCAACTATGAGTTGGAGAAATGATCAATCATCAGTTGGAGAAGGAGTTGTGCGGTGTGTCTTACCTCAGTGCCCAGTCTGAACTTGATCTCATACATGAGGATGAGCGCGTTGGGGGACGAGGGTTCAGGCCAGCGGAGGAACACAGAATCGTCCTCTCCTGTCCAGATCACTGGGCCTGGGATATCATCCACCTTCTCTGTAGGTACGAGACATAACACATCATGTTTCATATGGACAAGACCAGAGGGGTATACTATGAAGCAAGTTAGATCTACAGGGCCTAGCAGTTTTACTAACACATTAGTTCTAGTAGCTATGTCGACTAGCTATGACGTTAGCTAATATGGTGACAACTACGCAGGCCGTGTGTAGCCGTTATGATATGAAGGTTTGGCTTAGAAAGGTTTTTTCGCCTGGTCACAGACAGCTGATGTGGTGCACTGAAGTCTGCAAGCGAAGGGAAAAGTTGAGAGGAGGAGAGCGCGTAGATGCGAGAAGGAATTCTACAACGAGCAACGTGATCATGCTGTTTGTATGTGGCTGCTATGAAAGGGAACTATGTTTGCGTGTGATTAGGGGTGTAAAAAAACTCAGCCGATTCTGTTGAAAAACATTTCTTAAATGGAAGCAAATGGAACAAAATGGGGATAAACACGCAAGATCTCACCCCGTGGGGTCAAAATGATCACAAGAACGGTGAGCAAAAATCCCAGAACCACACGGGGGGACGTAGTGAATGACCTGCAGAGAGCTGGGACCAAAGTAACAAAGCCTACCATCAGTAACACACTACGCCGCCAGGGACTCAAATCCTGCAGTGCCAGATGTGTCCCCCTGCTTAAGCCAGTACATGTCCAGGCCCGTCTGAAGTTTGCTAGAGTGCATTTGGATGATCCAGAAGAGGACTGGGAGAATGTCATATGGTCAGATGAAACCAAAATAGAACTTTTTGGTAAAAACTCAACTCGTCGTGTTTGGAGGACAAAGAATGCTGAGTTGCATCCAAAGAACACCATACCTACTGTGAAGCATGGGGGTGGAAACATCATGCTTTGGGGCTGTTTTTCTGCAAAGGGACCAGGACGACTGATCCATGTAAAGGAAAGAATGAATGGGGCCATGTATCGTGAGATTTTGAGTGAAAACCTCCTTCCATCAGCAAGGGCATTGAAGATGAAACGTGGCTGGGTCTTTCAGCATGACAATGATCCCAAACACATCGCCCGGGCAACGAAGGAGTGGCTTCGTAAGAAGCATTTCAAGGTCCTGGAGTGGCCTAGCCAGTCTCCAGATCTCAACCCCATAGAAAATCTTTGGAGGGAGTTGAAAGTCCGTGTTGCCCAGCGACAGCCCCAAAACATCACTGCTCTAGAGGAGATCTGCATGGAGGAATGGGCCAAAATACCAGCAACAGTGTGTGAAAACCTTGTGAAGACTTACAGAAAAAGTTTGACCTGTGTCATTGCCAACAAAGGGTATATAACAAAGTATTGAGAAACTTTTGTTATTGACCAAATACTTATTTTCCACCATATAATTTGCAAATAAATTCATTAAAAATCCTACAATTATATTTTCTTGATTTTTTTTTTCTCATTTTGTCTATCATAGTTGACGTGTACCTATGATGAAAATTACAGGCCTCTCTCATCTTTTGAAGTGGGAGAACTTGCACAATTGGTGGCTGACTAAATACTTTTTTCCCCCACTGTACGTTGTAAACTCTCATTCATAGGCTAGTTTGTAGCAACCTCTTGATGGGTGCAGGGAACATTAGAGTATCATGTAGTAGCCTAAACCTATGGATGTTACATAGAACTGGGTGAATGGAATATGAATGACCGTCACCCAACATGCTGTAATAGAAATCAAAATGGTCCTCCCTCATCTTCGCTGTGGGGCAGCCCCAGAAGTACTTGGTCTTATCAACTGTATGCAATAATATTCTCTCTCTCGCTCTCTCTGACTACTAATGACGACAATATTACATGATAACGCACATTAATTCACCTCCAGCAAATGAGATAAGTGTCAGGCATCGAGATAAACCCTGCAGTGCTGAGTAACTTAACCCATACTATGAGAAGGTTTAGTTTCATCCAAAGCTCTACTGTTTAATGAAGGAGAGATGAGGGAACAGGACGAACCTGCAGGTTTGGTCCTGGAGAAGACAAACTCTGCCGCGCTGCAGCGGTGCACCTGGTTGTTGCAGGCGTGGACGTCGATCCGGTAAACGGTGAACGGCTGCAGACCAGATATCTGCAGCTCCCGCTCGCTGACTGCACACTCTACAAAGTCATACTCCCTGTCCGCTAACTCTGCCTCTGTAGCGTTGGGCCAAGGATCAGGTGACGTGGCGTTAGGGTAGGTGGTCGTACGGTTAGCCACGCCAAATACATCCCGACGCCGCCGGTCTGGAGGTCTGGAGGAGAGGGAGAGAGAGCAGAGGGATGTCGGAGTGACACAACCACAGTCGTCCAAACACTCGGACAATACACTGGTCAACAGATAACCTGTGGTGGAATCCTTTCAATGGTAAACATGGCTTTGATTTAAAGCAGTGGAGAGGATTATTCAGTCAGAATCTACCCCCTCTAGTACATTGATCCAGTCAGTCAGAATCTACCCCCTCTAGTACATTGATCCAGTCAGTCAGAATCTACCCCCTCTAGTAATGATACAGTCAGTCAGAATCTACCCCCTCTAGTACATTGATCCAGTCAGTCAGAATCTACCCCCTCTAGTACATTGATCCAGTCAGTCAGAATCTACCCCCTCTAGTACATTGATCCAGTCAGTCAGAATCTACCCCCTCTAGTACATTGATCCAGTCAGTCAGAATCTACCCCCTCTAGTACATTGATCCAGTCAGTCAGAATCTACCCCCTCTAGTACATTGATCCAGTCAGTCAGAATCTACCCCCTCTAGTACATTGATCCAGTCAGTCAGAATCTACCCCCTCTAGTACATTGATCCAGTCAGTCAGAATCTACCCCCTCTAGTACATTGATCCAGTCAGTCAGAATCTACCCCCTCTAGTACATTGATCCAGTCAGTCAGAATCTACCCCCTCTAGTACATTGATCCAGTCAGTCAGAATCTACCCCCTCTAGTACATTGATCCAGTCAGTCAGAATCTACCCCCTCTAGTACATTGATCCAGTCAGTCAGAATCTACCCCCTCTAGTACATTGATCCAGTCAGTCAGAATCTACCCCCTCTAGTACATTGATCCAGTCAGTCAGAATCTACCCCCTCTAGTACATTGATCCAGTCAGTCAGAATCTACCCCCTCTAGTACATTGATCCAGTCAGTCAGAATCTACCCCCTCTAGTACATTGATCCAGTCAGTCAGAATCTACCTCTTGATATGCCAACTGTCAGGTGGATGGATTATCTTGGCCAAGGAGAAATGCTCATTAACAGGGATGTAAACACATTTTTGTGCGTATGGAACGTTTAAGGGATCTTTTATTTCAGCTCATGAAACATGGGACCAACACTTTACATGTCGCGTTTATATTTGTGTTCAGTATAAATGGAAACTTGTCCAACAAGACTGCACATATTTGTTTTCCATTTCAGAAGGTTTTGTTACGTTGTGCCCTCCTGAACGCTACCCGTGTGTGTTACTGCCTGTGCGTGTGCTTACCTGGGGGTAAAGATGGAGTTGTGTAAGAAGTTCTCAAAGACTTTTCTGTATGAAGCGTCAGCTGCCTCTGCCTCCAGGTCTCCTAGTGATTTAGGGCAGGGGCAGCAGGGCCCCTTGTCCCCCCCACCAACGTCTGGTTTAGTAGGCTTCAGGTCCTCCTCCATGTCACTCACCCCTGTAGCGGCTATACGGATCGGGATCTTCAGTTCTGAGGGAGAGGAGAGAGAGAGAGGAGGGGTTAGGGTGTAGGGGCTAGGGTGTAGGGGGCGGTATAGGGGTTAGGTATAGGGGTAGGGTGTAGGGGTTAGGGGAGGGTTAGGGGTGTAGGGTTAGGGGTGTAGGGGTTAGGGTGTAGGGGTTAGGGGGTGTAGGGGTTGTGTAGGGGTTAGGGTGGGGAGGGGTGGGTTGTGGGGAGGGTGTAGGGGTTAGGGTGGAGGGGTTAGGGTGTAGGGGTAGGGGTGTGGGGTGTAGGGGTTAGGGTGTGGGGGGGTAGGGAGGGTTGAGGGGGGTTAGGGTGTGTGAGGGGTGTAGGGGTTGGGTGTAGGGGTTAGGGTAGGGTTAGGGGTTAGGGGGTGGGTTGGGGTGTAGGGTTGTGTAGGGGTTGGGTGTAGGGTGGGTGGTTAGGGTGTAGGGGTTAGGGGTGTAGGGGTTAGGGGGTTGGGGGTTAGGGGTGGGTGAGGGGTTAGGGTGTAGGGGTTAGGGGTGGGTAGGGGGTGTGGGGTGTAGGGGTTAGGGGTGTAGGGGTTGGGGTGTGGGGTTAGGGGTAGGGTTAGGGTAGGAGGTAGTGTGAGGGTTAGGGGGTAGGGGTTAGGGTGTAGGGGTTAGGGGTAGGGTTAGGGGTTAGGGGTTGGTGTAGGGGTGTTGGGTGGGTAGGGGTGGTTGGGTGTAGGGGTTGGGTAGGGGTAGGGTGTTGTAGGGTGTAGGGGTTAGGGTTGGGGTGGGCTAACCTTTAGACGTAGTTGTGTTGATCAGTCCTGTTTCAGCCTGTTGCTGCCAGGGACCAGGTAGTAGGGGTTAGGGTTGTAGGGGTAGGGTGTAGGTGTAGGGGTTAGGGGTTGTAGGGGTTGGGGTGTAGGGTGTTGGGTGTAGGGGTTGGGGTTGGTAGGGGTTAGGGTTGTAGGGGTTAGGGTTGTAGGGGTTAGGGCTGTAGGGGTTAGGGGTTAGGGTTGTAGGGGTTGGGGTGTAGGGGTTAGGGGTTAGTGGTTACTAACCTTTAGAGCAGTAGTTGTGTTGATACAGTTCCCTGTATTCAGCCTGTTGCTGCCAGCGGACCAGGTAGTAGGGTTAGGGTGTGTAGGGTTAGGGGTAGGGGTTAGGGTGTGTAGGGGTTAGGGTGTAGGGGTTAGGTGGTGTAGGGTGTAGGGGTTAGGGTATAGGGGTTAGGGTGTAGGGGTTAGGGTGTAGGGGTTAGGGTGTAGGGGTTAGGGTGTAGGGGTTAGGGTGTAGGGGTTAGGGTACTAACCTTTAGAGCAGTAGTTGTGTTGATACAGTTCCCTGTCTTCAGCCTGTTGCTGCCAGCGGACCAGGTAGAAGGGGTTAGGGTGTAGGGGTTAGGGTGTAGGGTTAGGGTGTTAGGGGTTAGGTTAGGGGTTAGGGTTAGGTGTGCTATAGAGCGTTAGGTTGTGTATAAGTCGGCTTAGGCGTGTGCAGGGACAGGTTAGGGGTTAGGGTTAGGGGTTAGGGGTTGTAGGGGTAGGGTGTAGGTGTGGGGTAGGGTGCTAACCTTTAGAGCAGTAGTTGTGTTGATACAGTTCCCTGTCTTCAGCCTGTTGCTGCCAGCGGACCAGGTAGTAGGGGTTAGGGTGTAGGGGTAGGGGGTAGGGTTAGGTGTTAGGCGGTTAGGGTATGGGGTAGGTGTGTAGGGGTAGGGTTGAACTAGGAAGTATGTGTTTGATAAGTTCGTCTCAGCCGTGCTGGCGGTTACAGGGTAGTAGTACGTTAGGGGTAGTTAGGGGTTTAGGTATTCAGTTAGGTAGGGTTGGTAGGGTTAGGGTATCTAACCTTTAGACAGTAGTTGTGTTGATACAGTTCCCAGTTCAGCTGTTGCTGCAGCGGACAGGTTAGTAGGTTTGGGTGTTAGGGTAGGTTAACCGTGCAGTAGGGTAAGCGCTCAGTTTTGACGGACAGAGTAGGTTCTAGGGTAGGGGTTAGGAGAAGGCGTTAGGGTACATGAGTTAAGTTCTGGCTGTCTCAGGACAGTAAGTTAGTTAATGTACGGTTAACGGGGATAGGTTAGGGCATTTTGAGTTAGTGGGTGGTTACAGACAGTTGAAGTTTCTTTTCTCCGGCATGAGGTTAGGAGGCTAGTTTGTGAATCAGGCCTCCAGACAGAGACGTTAGTACAGATGATACTTAAGATTAGTAGATTAATTAAACATTCATCAGGAGCTCATTAAGAACACTGACATGATATTAACATTAAAACAGCTCTCACATCCAGGGGCATGGACGGCTCTACAGGAGACAGACAGATATTAACATGATATTAACATGATCCAGGGGCATGGACGGCTCTACAGGAGACAGACAGATATTAACATGATATTAACATTAAAACAGCTCTCACATCCAGGGGCATGGACGGCTCTACAGGAGACAGACAGATATTAACATGATATTAACATGATATTAACATTAAAACAGCTCTCACATCCAGGGGCATGGACGGCTCTACAGGAGACAGACAGATATTAACATGATATTAACATGATATTAACATGATATTAACATGATATTAACATTAAAACAGCTTTCACATCCAGGGGCATGGACGGCTCTACAGGAGACAGACAGATATTAACATGATATTAACATGATATTAACATGATATTAACATGATATTAACATTAAAACAGCTTTCACATCCAGGGGCATGGACGGCTCTACAGGAGACAGACAGATATTAACATGATATTAACATGATATTAACATTAAAACAGCTCTCACATCCAGGGGCATGGACGGCTTCTACAGGAGACAGGACAGATATTAACATGATATTAACATGATATTAACCATGATATTAACATTAAAAACAGCTTTCACATCCAGGGGCATAGACGGCTCTACAGGAGACCAGACGATATTAAAATGATATTAACATGATATAACATGATATTAACATGATATTAACATTAAAACAGCTTTCACATCCAGGAGCATGGACGGCTCTACAGGAGACAGACTGATATTAACATGATATTAACATTAAAACAGCTTTCACATCCAGGGGCATGGACGGCTCTACAGGAGACAGACTGATATTAACATGATATTAACATTAAAACAGCTTTCACATCCAGGAGCATGGACGGCTCTACAGGAGACCCCCCTAACCCCATACACCAAGAACCCAGAAACCACTATACACTAACCCCGTACAACCCTAACCACTACAACCCTAAACCCCTAAACACTAACCCCTACACCCTAAACCCTACACCCCTACACCCTAACCCCTATCACCCTAACCCCTACACCCCTAACCCCTACACCCCTAACCCCTTCACCCCTAACCCCTACACCCTAACCCCTATACCCTAACCCCTACACCCCAACCCCTACACCCTAACCCCTCTTGGCTCCCGGGACGTGCCTAACCCCTACCGCCCTGTCCCTGAGGGGCTGGTTCTGATGTAGACTACTACCCTCTTGGCTCCCGGGACGTGCCTAACCCCTACCGCCCTGTCCTGTACCTGAGGGGCTGGTTCTGATGTAGACTACTTCTCTCTTGGCTCCCGGGACGTGCCTAACCCCTACCACCCTGTCCTGTACCTGAGGGGCTGGTTCTGATGTAGACTACTTCCCTCTTGGCTCCTGGGACGTGCCTAACCCCTACCACCCTGTACCTGAGGGGCTGGTTCTGATGTAGACTACTTCCCTCTTGGCTCCTGGGACGTGCCTAACCCCTACCACCCTGTACCTGAGGGGCTGGTTCTGATGTAGACTACTTCACTCTTGGCTCCCAGGACGTGCCTAACCCCTACCACCCTGTCCTGTACCTGAGGGGCTGGTTCTGATGTAAACCACTTCACTCTTGGCTCCCGGGACGTGCCTATCCTCTACCACCAGAGTGATGGCCTTCACGTAGATGGCGTACTGGGTCCAGGGCTTGAGAGGGGACAGTAGCACCCCCGGGTCAGAGTTCTTCTCCTGGGGGAGGTCCACGTCCACCATGTTCCAACTGTTGGAGCCACAGCCGTCCTGGCCGTCAAACTCTGTGATGTTCGGGACGGGCTTCAAGGGACGGGATGTTTATTAACAGGTTTTTAAAATTTAAAACCAAAAGGGGCTTTCCAAAAATTTTCAGGGGGCATGGAAGGCTCTCTACAGGAGGGGAAAAAAAAAAAAAAGCCCCTGAAAAAAATTAAAAAAAAAAAAAAAAAAAAAAAAAAACCGGGGGTTTCTTTTTAAAAAACCCCCCTTTTCCCCCCGGGACCCCTAACCCCAAAAGGGCCCGCCCAAAAAAAACTGGTTCAAAAATTAAAAAAAAAACTTCCCCTTTCCCCCCAAAATCCAAAAAACCCAAAAAACCCCCCTTCCACCATTTTTTTAAAACAAAACCCTACCCTAACCCCATAACCCCACCCCCCTTTAAACCTTTCAAACCCAAACCCCTTTCCCTAACCCCTACCCCACCACCCCCCCCCCTTTTTAAAGGGAACCACTTTGGCCCCGGGACTTTGCCAAAACCCTACCCCCTTTTCCCTGAGGGGGGCTGGTTCTGATTTTGAAAAATTCACTCTTGGCCCCCCGGGGGCCCCCCCCCCGGGGGTGTTAATCCGCCCCGGGGTAATTTGAGGGGGGCAAAGTAGCACCCCGGGCCCCCAGATTTCCTTCCCCTGGGGGGTCCGTCCAAGGGGGGTTCAAATGTAGACAAGCCCCTTTTGGCCCTCAAATCGTGATCCCCCCGGGTTTGCCCCGGGAGGGGCGGGGAGCCCCTTTTTTGGCCCCGGAGTTCTAAATTAAAAAGGGAAACCCGAAGGGGAGGAGAAAGGGGTTTTGGGGTTATTTTTGGCCCCGGGGGAAATTGAAAGGAAACCCAACCCCCCGGGGAGAGGGGCTTTGGGTTAGGGTTACATTTCTAAGGAAATTGAAAAAACAGCCGCCCTGGGGAGGGAAAAACCCATTTTTGGTTTTGGGATGTTTCTAAAAAAAGGAAAAAGGCCAACGTAGAGGGAGCCCGGGGAGGGTTGGAGGGGGAAAGAAGAAAAGGGGGCAGACATTGGGGGGGGGGAGCCCCCAGGTTTAAAGGGTTGGAGGAATTGTTCAAATGGAAAAAAAAAAAGGAAGACGGGGAGGGGGAAATGGGTTGGGGTTTTAGAGGATGTTTAGGATTATAAAAGAGAAACAAAAAACGGACAGTGGGGGGGAGACATGGGTTAGGGTTAGAGGATGTTCTAGGATATAGAAGGGGAAAACAGACAGAAGTGGAGAGGGGGGAAATGGGTTAGGGTTAAAGGGGTTTGTTCTGGGGATATAAAAGAGAAACAGACAGACGGGGAAAGAGGGAGACAGGGGGTTGGGTTTAGAGGATTTTTAAGGAATGGGAAGAGAAACGGCGCGTGGGAGAGGGAGCCCGGGGGTTAGGGTTAGAGGATGTTTGGGAAAATAAAAGGAGAAACGGGAAGACAGTGGGGGAGGGGGGGAAAGGGGGTTTGGGGTTTAGAGGATGTTCTGGGGATATAGGGGGAAAAACGACAGACAGGGGAAAGAGGGAGAAAAGGGGTTGGGGTTTTTAAAAGGAGGTTTGGTTTATAGAAAAAAAACAAAATTTTGGAGAAACACAAGGGGACCCGGAATTGAAGAAAAAGACGCAGTGGGAGGGGAGACAGGGGGGTTAGGGTTGGGGGTGTTTCTGGGAAAAGGGAAAGAAAAAAACAGACGGGGACAGTGGAGGGGGAAAACAGGGTTTAGGGTTTTAGAGGTTTGGGGTTTTTCTAGGATATAAAAAGAGAAAAGACAGAAAGGGGAGAGGGGAAAAACTTTGGGTTTTGGGTTAGAGGATGTTTTTTGGGATATAGAAGAGAAAAAGAACCCAGACCCAGTGGAGAGGGGACAGGGGGTTTGGGGGTTAGAGGAGTTCTGGGTTTTATAAAAGAGAAACAACAGAAAAGGGGAAAGAGGGAGACAGGGTTTTAGGGTTAGAGGATTTTTCTGGGATATAGAAGAGAAAAACAGACAGAAAAGTGGAAAAGGGGAAAAGACAGGGTTAGGGTTAGGGGAGTTCTAGGATATAGAAGAGAAAAAAAACCGACAGTGGAGGGGAACAGGGGTTTTGGGTTTTTGGGGAGTTTCGGATATAGAAGAGAAAAAAAGGACAAAAAAAAGTGGGGGAGGGAGAAAAGGGGGTTGGGTTTTAGAGGAGTTCTAGGAATAAAAGAGAAAAAGACAGCCCAGTGGGGGAGGGGGGAATGGGTTAGGGAAAGGGGATTTTTTCTAGGATTAGAAGAGAAACAGACGGGGACAGTGGAGAGGGGGGGGAAAACATGGGTTAGGGTTGGGGGGATGTTTTAGGATAAAAAGAAGAGAAAAAGACAGTGGAGGGGAGACATGGGTTAGGGTTAGAGGTTTTTGTTCTAGGAATAAAGAGAAACAGACAAAACAGTGGAGAGGGAGAAGGGTTAGGGTTAGAGGAGGTTTTAGGATATAAAAAGAGAAACGGGAAAGCCCGGGGAGAGGGAGGGGGGGTTTGGGTTTAGAGGATGTTCTAGGATATAGAAGAGAAACAGACAGACAGTGGAGAGGGAGACATGGGTTAGGGTTAGGGGATGTTCTAGGGTATAGAAGAGAAACAGACAGACAGTGGAGAGGGAGACATGGGTTAGGGTTAGGGGGGTTTCTGGGTATAAAAGGGAGAAAACGGGACAGTTGGGGGGAGGGAAAACATGGGTTGGGGTTTAGAGGATTTTTCTAGGATATAAAAGGAAAAAAAGGGACAGACAGGGGAAAGGGGGAAAGACAGGGGTTTAGGGTTAGGGGGGATGTTTCTGGGGATTAAAAAGAAAAACCCAGACAGAAAGTGGAGGGGGGAGACATGGGTTAGGGGGGGGATTTTTCTAGGATATAGAAAAAGGAAAAAGCCCAGACAGGGAGGGGAAGCATGGGTTGGGGTTTTTGGGGGATTTTCTAGGGTATAGAAGAGAAACAGACAGAAGTGGAGGGGGGAGACAGGGGTTTGGGTTTGGGGGATTTTTAGGAAAAAGAAGAAAAAACAGCCCAAGACATTTTGGAGGGGAAAAATGGGTTGGGTTTTTAGAGGATTTTCTGGATATGAAGAAAAAAAGGGACAGACAGTGGAGGGGAAAAACAGGGTTAGGGTTAGGAGTTTAGGAATAGAAGAAAAAAAAGGGACGGACAGGGAGAGGGAGAGGGGGTTTTGGGGTTTTGGGGGAATTTTAGGATATAAAAAGAGAAACAGACAGACAGTGGAGGGGGGGGGACAGGGGTTTGGGGTTTTTTAGAGGTGTTTTTAGGATATAGAAGGGGAAACAGCCCGACAGTGGAGGGGGGGAGGGAAAGGGTTTTAGGGTTGGGGGGTTTTTGTTCAGGATATGAAGAGAAACAGACGGGACAGGGGAGGGGAGACATGGGTTGGGTTAGGGGATGTTCTGGGATTAAAAAAAGGAAACAGACAGACAGGGGGTAGGGAGACATGGGTTGGGTTTTAGAGGATGTTCTGGGGATATAGAAAAAAAAAACGACGGGACAGTGGGAGAGGGGGGCCCATGGGTTGGGGTTTAGGGGATGTTCAGGATAAAAAGAGAAACGGGACAGACAGTGGGGGAGGGAAACATGGGTTGGGGTTTTTTAGGGGGAAAATTTTCTAGGTATAAAAAGAGAAACAGAAAAGGGACAGGGAGGGGGAAAGAGGGGGGTTAGGGTTAGGGGATGTTCTGGGGATTTTAAAAAAGAAACGGGCCAGCAGGGGAGAGGGGGGCCCTTTTTTTGGGTTAGGGGTTTTGTTCTGGTTTTATAAAAAGAGAAACGACAGCGGGGAGGGGGGAGACAGGGTTTGGGGTTTAGGGTGTTTAGGATAAAAGAAGAGAAAAAGCCCAACAGTGGAGGGGAAAGAAGGGGGGGTTTTAGGGATGTTCTAGGGAATGGGAAGGGAAAAAACGGGAACAGACAGGGGAAAGGAGGGGGGGGAACAGGGGTTTTGGGGTTAGGGGATGTTTTTAGGAATAGAAAAGAAAAAAGACAGTGGAAGGGGAAACATGGGTTGGGGTTTGGGGGAAAGTTCTAGGAATGGGAAGAGAAAAAGACGGGACAGTGGAGAGGGGACAGGGGGGGGTTTAGGGGTTTGTTCTAGGATATAAAAAGAGAAAAACAGACGACAGTGGGAGGGAGACGGGGGTTGGGGTTAGGGGATGTTTAGGATTATAAAAGGGAGAAAAAAACAGACAGGGAAGGGAGACAGGGTTGGGGTTTGGGGGGTTCTAGGATATGAAGAAAAAAACGGGACACATTTGGGGAGGGAACCCGGGGTTTTTAAGGGTTTTGGGGGATGTTTAGGATATAAAAAAGGGGAAACAAGGACAGGGGAGGGGGGAAAGCCCAATGGGTTAGGGTTGGGGAATGTTTAGGAATAGAAGAAAAAAAACCAGACAGACAGTGGAGAGGGAAAAACAGGGGTTTAGGGTTTAGGGGAGTTCTAGGATGAGGGGAAAAAAGAAACGGGGAAAACGGGGTTAGGGTTGGGGGTTTTCCCGGGGATAAAAGAAGAGAAACAGCCCGGGACGGGGGGGGAGAGGGGGGAACATGGGTTGGTTTTGGGGAGGAGGGTTCTGGGGATATAGAAGGAAACGGGACAGGGGGGTTGGGTTTTTGGGAAGGGAAAAACAGGGTTGGGGTTTTAAAGGGGTTTTGTTCTAGGTTTATAGAAAAAAAAAGAAACGGGGACAGTTGGGTTAGGGGGGGGTTTTCTAGGATATAAAGGGAAAAACAGACAGGGGCCCAGTGGGAGGGGAGACATGGGTTAGGGTTAGGGGAGGTTCTGGGAAAAAAAAATGGGGAAGGGGAAAAAAAAACAGGACAGGGAGAGGGAGACAGGGTTTTGGGGGTTAGGGGATTTTTCTAGGATATAGAAGAAAAAACAGACGGGTTGGGGGGGGTTTGGGGGAAAATGTTTAGGATATAGAAGAGAAACGACATTTAGGGTTAGGGGGATTTTTCTA